AGCCAGGTCTGCTGTGATGCCATTTTCTGGGCCGGGGTTGGTACTGAGCACTGGGTTTCCTTCTGCTCCCCCAGGCTCTGGGGAAATTAACCCCCTCAGTCCATATTCAGTTCCTGATTAGTATCCAATAACGTGATCAAGCTGAAATGTCACCTGTGCTGCCCAAAATATATGTGAACCCCTGAACCCACAAGATCTTATGGGTCTCAGCCACACACCTGCACAGACATGACTCCTTTGGGACACTCAGGTCTCTTGGGCACTGAAGACAGCTGCTCTCTTGTGACTTTAGCTTGACAAGGTGAAATGAGCTTCTTATTCTTATTCCAGTCTCTGCTGGAAAGGTTCAAGCAGCACCTACCCTCTGCTCCACCTCCATACCCCATACTTGGGAGCCATTTGGGCAGTTTGGGCAGAGCCCAAGGCTGGGATGAGCCTCACAGCCCACCCTGTGCTCCCACCCTTAGGGTTGAATGAGCCAACCTCTTCAGCCTTGTTTCCTGGGTTCCTGTTCCTGCTTTGTGCTCAACTCTGTGGTAGCCCCTGACCTCAGCTTTTGACTGCTGACCCCAAGTTGCAATGTTTGGATCTTGACCCCCAACTTGGTCTCTGCCTTGGACACTTTAGTGCCCTTGAAGCCAGGATCAGGCCCACCTCAGTTCCTACTTTGATACACACACTTGCCCTGACCATGGCTCCCATGGCCTGCCTGCAGCCTCCATGAGGGAGTTGCTTCTGCTCTTCACGTGGAGGGTGATGCCCAGGCTATCAGGACAGTACTGGTTGCAGAACTGGCATGCATACTCCTGGTACTAGATTTCAGGGCCCCGGGGAAGCACTGAGGTCTGTAGCCTGAACTCAGAGTATGCTATCCTCATGCTACAGACACTGGCTGAGAGTGGAAGCGCTTGATCTAGCAACCTCCCTCATTTCAGTGATGGAACTGGGGACAGCCGGATCTTACCCATGCCCATGCCTTAACCAGAGGCCCATATTATCTCCTGGGGAGCAGCCCCTAGCCAGGAGGGCCTCAGCTGGCACTCCAGGGCTGCACATTCTGTCAGGGCACCCAGCAAGGCTCCAGGTGAAGGGCTGTGCAGGAGGTTCCCAAGATGCTGGCAAGGCTGTGGCTATGCCCTGCCTGCTAACATGGCTTTCCCTTGGCAGAATATTCTCTTCCTGGGAGACTTCAATGCTGGCTGCTCCTATGTCAGCCCTGAGGACTGGGCCTCCATCCGCCTGCGCACCAACAGAGCGTTCCAGTGGCTCATTCCTGACAGTGCTGACACCACTGTGTCACACACTGTCTGTGCCTATGACCGGTAAGACACCACCAGGGCAGGAGGTGCTTCCTGAAAAAGATGGGAGGTCTGGGAGTGGGGAGGGAGCAGGGTCTGATGTGGGGGGAAGCCAGAATATGGGGTCCCAATTGGAAATTTAGTCCTCCCTGGTGACAGGAGCTCTCCCTTTGATTTCATTGTGAATAGTCTCCTGCTGGGACTGCCTGGGCTTTACAGAGAGGAAGCACCTTGCTGTGGGATACGTCATGCCCCTTACATTGACTGAAGAGTGTTACCCCCGTAGGGCTGGCCTGGTGGCCTTACTGCTGCTGGAGTGGTGGAGCATGGAAACCATTACTGGGAGCCCCTGGCTGGCAGCCTGTACAGAAGCTGGATCTAAATGGGCCATGAACTCCTCTGTCCATTTGAGGGGTTGGGCTGGTGCTAACGCAGATTGGCAGGGTAGTGCTGGGGGCCCATGTAGCCCCCCCCCCCACCCCCACCCCCACAAGTCACCAGCTGCTGCAGTGCAGTCAGATGAAAGGCAGGTGTGATGTTAGAGTTGCAGCAGGGCAGCCTAATCAGAGACCTAAGAGGGTTGGCATTTGTGTGAGATGAGCATGTATGGCCAGGGCCAGTTGTGGGGCTTGAAAGAAAAGGGGTGGGCAATGGGATGGAGGAGAGTATGGGAGCTGGGAAATGCTCTCATGGGCACTGACTTTGGGACTGCCATGGAGCATCAGATGCCTCTGTTGCTGCTGGAAACCCCAGGGTAAGCGGAGCATATTTCCTGTCATATTTGATGCTGAATCCAGCACTGATGAATGTGTGACAAGACTCCTTTGGCCTCTTACAGGATTGTTGCAAGTGGCTCTGAGATGAAAAGCTGTCTGATTCCTGAGACTGCCCATGTCAACAACTTCCAAAGGGCTTTCAACCTGCAGTACAAGGATGTAAGTGATGCCCAGGGTCCTGCTGGGTGCTGACAGCAAGCTCTGGCTGTTATTTCCTTGGGAGAACAACAGCCATAGTCAGTACTTGTGCCAAGGGCAGAAACAGCATTTCTTCTAGGTCTAGGCTACATCAACTCTAGTGGAGAATTTCCCAAGTGTGAAGGTTAAGCCTGCTCAGCAAAGCTGCCTACAGCTTGCATCATGCCAATATAACAGGGCAGGATTTTCTCTGCTGTGATTACCTCTGGGGGTAGATGGGCACTAGAGCTGTTGGGTCTGATTCCGTAGAGCTCTACACTGTGTGCAAAGTGACTCTGCAGCATGGCACATGGTTTACCCACTGGGATTGTCTGGGCTATCCCACCTAGTCAGCTCTCTGCCACTGCAATGGCCCCTGATATGGGTGGCGCTTGGTCCTTTTTGTTCCGTGCCTGAAGCACACATTTTGGTCTTGTGGGGACCAAAATGCTTTGATCTTACTAAAATATGCATTTAATGCAGATATATCAGGGTGCACCTAAATAGCTTATGATTACAGGAGGTCAAAAGAAATGATTTAGCAGTTACCTGTGGGCTCAAGCTCTGGGAAATGATAAATGGCAGTGTTTCACCCACTCTTAACCCTGGGATAAATGACCCAACAAAGGGAAAGACAATGGAGAACAAGGCCCCAGATGCTGTTCCATGACCTCCTGCTTAGAAGCAGAACCTCCACTTGGAAGTCCAGCAGGTTGTCGCTGCCCTGTAGAGCACTCTCTGCTTCAGCAAGTCTTCTTCATTGCGTCTTCAGTCCAACCTTTCTATATAGTCTGTTCCCAATATTCTGCATAGGCCACTGCTTCTGGTGTTGGTGTTGCCAGAACTTGTGGGGTGCACTGTGGTGCTACAGGGCATCTCAGGAGATAATCCATGGTTTGCCTCCCCTGACAAACACATTGATCAGTCATGTAAAGGCCCCATGCATCTTCCAAGACTCACTCTCAATCTGTTCAGACTCCACCATGTATACCATTTGCAGCTGGATGCTAACTCCTTACTCGGGGTGATTCCTCGCTGGCTCCATTCAACAGCTTTGTTTCCTAGTTTCTCCAATTTTTTGCCAGAGGGTAGTTCTGACTGATTCTAGTGATGTGGTCAATGATATGGGAGGGGACAAAAAGCTGTTTCTCGATCAGAGACAATGGTGAACTGGTTGATGTCAGTATAGTGTGTGGCGGCTGTCTGACTCTTGTACTTCCCAGTCAATGTCACCTGCTACTTTCCTCGTGATATAAGGAGGTGCTATGCCAGATAGTATGTAAAGTCAGAGAACAAGGGTGCATTTTAGGCAGCCTGTTATAATTCTGCATATATCATTTAGGGTGGTGTCAATAATTACTGTGACTTGAGCGTCCCCAGGTGGTGCAGGCATATTCAGCCACAGACAAACAAATTGTTAAGGCAGTAGTGCATAGGATGGATGAATGTGCTCCCCACTTGGAATTTGCAAAGTTACACAGAATGTTGTTCATGTGCGTTTAATATGACTTGGCTTTAGCATTTAATATGTGTTTAAGTGTATGGTCCAGTGTTACCCCTAAGTAGACTGGGTGTTTCTGATGTTCAAGACTCTGCTCACCCCAGGCTACATTCAGGTGTCATTCTATATCCAGGTTCCTCATACTGGAAGTAGATGGAAAGTGCAGATTTGGGTTTTGGATGATTATTTAGGTAATAATCTGACATCTTGTTCAGTGACCTTGCCAGGATCTTTTCTGTGTCCTCAAAATTCTTCTGCTGTGTGGTAATGCAGGAATTGTCAGTGTGACAAACATGGGAGCTCCCCAACCAGCCACAGTACTGGTTTCCCACTGCCTCTGGGCATGCCATCTGCCTATCTCACTTGCCATGCCTTGCTGTTAAGTAATTAGGATCTGAATTAGGTGGGAGGATGACCATTCTGGGCCCTGGTGTCTAGGGCCTTTAGTACACTCTCCTACCTCCCCTTAGGTGTCCCATGCATCGCAGATGTTCCTAACAGTGGCCTGAGGCTGGGCCCAAGTCATTACAGTATTAGGCTTCTCACGCCCTGCCCTGTTACAGGCCATACTCATACTGCCTCCCTCTTGTCTCGGATGGTCAGAGCCGACTCGAGGTGATTTAGAAATTGCTCGTTCGTCAGGGCGGGCTGGTGAATGGAGAGGCAGACAAGGTTTAATGGTTGCAAAAACGTTTACTTACGCCGCCTGTAGTTGCGACGCAGATGGTCCGGTTGTCTGAACAACTATGTGAGTTGTTCCAGCTGGCGAGGCCCAAGCCAGTTAATCCATCCGCAAATCAAGCCGGCGGGAAAAGGGTATGTCTGGGATTGCGCTCGGCGACAGGAAGAAGGATCGATAGGTGATCAGTCTATCGATCAGCTAGCCGCAAGTCAGATCTCTTTAGAGGCACTCTGCAGCATGCTCAAAGTTCTTCGACTTGGGCGGAAGTCGCGCGAATTTTTAAACGGCTAGCAAGCCAATTACTAGCCGCTACGTGTGAATAATTTAGCACTGGCCAATAGCGGGACACAAATTTGCATTCAAATAGCGGGAACTCTTTGCACCGTGCATTTCTGTGCTGCAAAGAAGAAATGCACCCTGCAAATTGGCGGGAACTCTCTTGCACCGAGGTTCTTCTGCTACAAAAGAAAACCTTTACTTTTGCAAGAGGCTCTCATGTGGCGGGAAAATTCCACCGTGCCGAGGCACCAAAATCACTGGGTTGTGACACCTCTCACTAAGGCCTCTCACAGTCCACCATCTCTCATACGGTCTCTCTTATACTGCCCTTGCTGGGCCTCACTCATACCCCTCCTGCTTTTTCCCCAGGGTCACACTCACCCTGCCCTCACCTGGAGGGTCCTTAGGATTGATTTCCTTCACTCCCTGGCCAGCAAGCCTTTTGGGCATCTCCCGCTACCCTCATCCAAGTGAGTGCTGGGTGGTTTGCAAAATACTGCACAGACTCTGCCCTTGTCTCATAGCCAGGTAACTCCCCATCTCCATACAGGGCTGCTGACTCCACCCTCATTTCTCCATTACTTCTCCTCTGCTGCCCTCCAATTGGCCTCAGGTGCCAGAAGGCTTACCTGGATCAAATTCAGTCGCCCAAGTTAACAGGACCTCAATTCATGGCCCCTACTCACAGGGCCTCAATTCAATACTCCACCCCCTTCTCTGGGGCCCAGGGCTGAACACCCCCACAGGCTCAGGTGCCCCTCCTCAGTATGCCTGGCCCACAACTCTCCTTCTCTCCCCAGGGTCTTACACCCTAAAGGGCTCAGGTGCCACCCATGGGCATGCCTTGCCCCACTACCCACTTCAGGCCTTGCGCCCTATCAGGATCAGGCGTCCCACATAGACATACCTGGCCCTAACTCACTCTGATGTTACTCATAACCCACCAGATGGTGGGTCCAGGGGTTATTAAGGTGCTCCAACCCTCCTTTCACCAGGATGGTCCTCCAACCTGGCATTTGCTGGCCCTGCCCCACCACTGGCAGTCCCACCAGGCCTCCCTATCCCAGCAGGGTGCAGTTTTAGGTCATGCCCAGGACCAGGAGCCTCCAAGCCGCCTCATAGCTCCTGCCCTTACCTCCAGGTTGTCTCCGGAGCAGCAGCTCCAGTGGGAGATGTTTCCCCCTCAGTGTCAGGCAACAACTGCTCTCTCCAGCTCTACTGGCCTGAGTCTTAAGATGGCTACTCATCAGGACTGGGCTGCACTTGCCTGCTGCCTGGCCCAGTTCTTAAAGTGGCAGAGCACCATGAGTGCTCCGATACATACCTTCCCCCTTAAGATGTTTTCTGGGGACGGTTTTCCCTGCTGCTCAGCCAACAAGCACCCCCAGAGCTTGCAAACTTCCTGAGTGGTGAGCACCCCACTGGTGCTCCACCACAGTCAACATAGATGAACTGCTGACATTTGGCAGGATGTGTCTGATTGTTAATGTAGATGTTGAATAAAAGTGGGTTGAGCACATTGCCTTCTTTGTGGTAAGCCATTCTTTTGGGAGCACACTGCTTCAGTAAGTAGCAGCCTTTGCATGTTGCCTCCATGGCCATTGTATATAGTCTCCCCAGGCCTACCATCAGGCCTCACGATTTGTTAAAATCACCAAATCTCAGGGTCAGGAGGAATCACAGGTCATCTAGTCCAGCCTCTTTCTTTTTTGTGTGTCTTAAGCATAATTGCAGATTTGTTGGAATCTGACAGGCCACGTCATGAGCACTTCTGCTATGGCTTCAAGTTTGCAACATCTAGGCTATCAACCATGCACCTTAGCACCCTCACAGGACCCCAGCCTCCAGCCCAGCTCCTGAACAGGTGCAGAATGGGCTACTTTTAAACCATCCTAGACAGATGTTCATCCTGTTGCTTCTTGAAAACCTCCAAGGAAGATTTCACAATAATCCTGGGTCTACCTCTGTCTCATGCTGGGGTAATGACTGAAACCAGCCAGGACCCGGTACAGACAAAAATTGGATAACAGTCTTAAAATACCTGAATAGTGGTTTTAAAGAAGATAGGGCTATTCTCTGTGGCTGCAGGGGACAGGACAAGGTATAACAATTTTAAATTGCAACAGAGGAAGAATTTGAGGAAGGTTAAGCATTGGAACAAGCTGTCCAGATTGTGAAGTCTCCATCCTTGGAAGTTTTAAAGAATAAATGAGACAGACATTTGGTTGGAATCCTGCCTTGCCCAGGGGCTGGACTACATGGCATCTTGAGGCCCTTCGAGACCTATTTTTCTGCTATTCTCTGATTCTGTGAGACTTCCACTTCTCCTTCTCCAGCATGTATCACGCTGGGGAATTAGAGCATGGGGTCTCTGCTCTTATCTTGGCTCTGCTGCAGGCTGCTAATTGTGCTCTGAGGACTCTGACAGGGACACAATCACTCAGGCAGGAGTGTAGTGTGGACTAAGCTTTAGTCTGGAAAGTATTTTACACTCGCTTTGCACTAGTGTTGACTGATTCCTATGAGCACAGGGCAGTAAAAGTTTAAACCTCTGTTCTGAATGTTTTGGCTAATTCTCCTTCCCTCTCTGTGCCTTGGTTTCTGCGTGAGGTAGAATCATAGAAAGCTAGGGTTAGAAGAGACCTCAGGAGGTCATCTAGTCCAACCTCCTGCTCAAAGTAAGACCAGCCCCAACTAGATCATCCCAGCCAAAGCTTCGTCTAGGCAGGTTTTGGAAACCCCCAAGGATGGACCTTCCACCACCTCTCTGGGTAATCCTGTTCCAGTGTTTTATTACCATCCTAGTGATAAAAGACTTCCTAATATCTAACCTAAACTTCCCTTGCTGCAGCCTGAGACTGTTGCTCCTTGTTCTGTCATCTGCCACCACTGAGATGAGTCTAGCTTCATCCTCTTTCAAACCCCCTTCAGGTAGTTGAAGATTGCTATTAAGTCTCCTCTCAGTCTTCTCTTCTCTGGACTAGAGAAGCCCAGTTCCTCCAGTCTTTTCTTATAAGTTATGTCCCCCAGCCCCCTCACCATTTTTGTTGTTGTCCTCTGCTGGACTCTAATTTGTCCACATCTTTTCCATAGTGGGGGCCCAAAACTGAACATAGTACTCCAGATGTGGCATCATCCATGCTGAATAGAGGGGAATAGTCTCTTCCCTTGACCTACTGGCAACACACTTACCAATGAAGCCCAGGATCCTGTTAGTCTTCTTGGCAACTAGGGCACAGTGCTGGCTTATATTCAGCTTATTATCCACTGTAACCCCCAGGTGTTCTTAGGCTGGCAAATGAAAAGTGCTGTGGGGGCTCCTGGTACAGCTCCATTCCCAACTTGGCTGCTGTACATGATATTGATGGAATGAGCATGGGGTGTGGCTCCCAGTTTTCCTGGCTTTCCTGTTTTGTGTGGAACAGCATGGCAATGGCACCAAGCAACCTGTTTAATCACTGTAACAGGGGGCTATCCCTAGGCCAATCACAATGTTGGTCTGCTCACCTGTCCAGGGCAGTTCATCCTTCCATCACACCTTTGTTGTAACCAAGTGAAATGTCAAGGACAGGGGCAGGCAATTATTTCGGGTGGAGGGCCGCTTACTGAGTTTTGGCAAGCCATCGAGGGCCGCATGACAGGCAGCCTGGGGCAAATGAATATTAATTTTCTACATTTTTAGGGGCCCCATGGGCCGGATAGAATGGCCTGGCAGGCCGCATTTTGCCCACCCCTGGTCAAGGGGGTCATGCACAGCTCCATACCATCTCCACACCATATCCCATGCCTTGCAGATGACATCACTATATAGCTCCAGCTCCACACTGGGTCCCACTATATTCCATACTGACATTTGGACCCTGACCTGGATCCCTCCTGCTCAGGCAGCCTAGCTCCCTAGACCCCTTTCCCACTCAGAAGTGGCCATATCCAGAACCTTTGGCCTTGCAGGACCTGGCCTCGCCTCTAGGCCAGTCAGGACTCCAGGCAGCTGGCTCTGGCCGTCCCTTGTGGTAGGCGCTCTGGTCCTTTGACCCTCATGGTTCTGGCCCTAGCATTGACCAGTCAAGGTTCTTGAGCAGCAAGCCCTCTCTCCCACATGGGTCTGCCTTCTCGGGCCTCTCCAAATAATGTCTCCACTTTCTGAGCTCGTGGACCACATAATTTCTCCAGAACCCTCCTGGACATGCTCTTCCACCCTCACTGGACTCACTAGTTCTCTGCCCCTCACTGGGCCTGTACTCCAGCTGGCCTATGTGCAGTCCTTCAGCCCCTCATGGACCCCACTCTCAGTGCCCTCCAGCTCTCTCTCTGCCCCCTCACTGGGACCAGTACTCTGCCCTCTCACTGGGGTTTCTGGGCCTTGCAGACCATGGGCCTCAGGCCCCACTCTCTGTGGGCCTTGGCCTTATGCTTTTCTGTCAGGGTGTGCTCCCCTAGCTTTTCCCCTCCACAGGTGACCCACAAGGCAGTCAGGACTAAGGCTTTCTGGCACCTCATACTTGTACTTGACTTTCACCAGGGAGGCACAGGTCTGATATTTCCTGGAGACTGCCCCGCCACAGGCAGCACCACCACACCATCCAACCCTATCAGGGTATAGTTTCAGGTCATGCTCCAGGACCAGGAACCTCCTCCAACCCTACTGTTCCTACCCTTAACCTCCAGGATGTTCTGGCAGCAGCAGACTGGCTGGGCAGTGTTGTTCCCTTGATTCCCAGCAGCAACTACCGGTTTAGCTCCAAGGGCCTGGGCTTATACTGAGGCTGCCCAGGCCTCCTCTAATCCAGGGGCCCTCTTGCAGTCATGTGACCACCTTATTAGGCCTAGCCACACCTGCTCAAGCCGCTTAAAGTGGCAGGCACAATCTGTGCCCTGCCACAATCACACATACCATAGCAAGTGCCTCTGGGGTGGGAATGTAGTGACCTGGTAGGACTGTGTTTGATAGCCTTTGCATAATTCTGACATAGGAGGATCTCAAGGTCCTTCAGAAGTGTTAGCAACACTCTGGTAGTGACTCAGGAGGTGGAAGATCAGTATTTCCATGTTGTGCAGGTGGGGAAACTGAAGTATAGAATGGTTGGGTAGCCCACATCTCAAAGCTTGGCCCCAGGCCATGCAGTGAGTTAGCATCAGAGCACAGAGCATGCCAGGCACTGCTTAGGACCAGAAGATCTTTCATTCCACAGCATGCACAAACCACACAGACTATAATGCTCAATGGAGGACTCTTACCTCTCTCTGTTTCTGTTCAGGCCCTGGCAGTCAGCGACCATTTCCCTGTGGAGGTGACCCTGAGGTCTTTCTGAGACTTGCTTATTCCTCTCTCCTTTCATCTACCAATGGCTGTGGCTACCAAGAAAACTTCCTCTACCACATGCATATTCTCTGCCAGGCACTGCTACTTGTAGTTCCAACTCCTTCACATGAACTCCCAGGACTGCATCTCAGTATCCAGGACTACAGGCAAACACCTGTCCTCCTGTCAGCCAACAGCAGCTTCTGATAGTTTCATGCCTCATTTAACCCAGCATTTCTTAACCCATGGGTCTCAACTCAAAAGTGGGTCACAAGAATATATGAAAGGGTCCTGAATCAACTTTAAAAATGGATTTTCCTTTAAAGGAGAAAAACATGGGAAACCATGGCTTCTCCCTTGCAGTCTGGCAGAGTTCCAGCCTATGAAGGGCTGCTAGGGGCCTCCCCAGGCCCCACACACCCAACCCCTGCCCCACACATGAGGGGGCAGCAGGTTAGAAGTGAGGGGCACTGGGTTGGGACTGGCTACTGATGTTTACAAATGGGTCCTGATACAAAAAAGGTTGAAAACCTATTATAGTCTATTAGCATTCCCTGCTGCATACCTGAATGATAGGCACACCTGTTCCTTCATATAGCTAGTAAGCTATTGGGATTTGCTCTTGGGATTGCTTGGAGAAAAATGCTGGAGGCAATGGTGGAGGGGAGGTGATCTTATGGTAATTTTAAAAGTGCCTGGTGAGCTGGTAGAAGCCAACTCAAGATTTTATTCTTCAGTCTCATGGTAGGATATTTTCCCCCTTAAATCAACTCCTGGAGTCATGTCATTAAAATAATTAGTTTCTAGTCCTTGTGTTTGTGGAGAAAAGTTTGATGCTGTGACCATCCAAGGCTCAAACCCAGCATTTACTGCTCTTAATATCTCATGATTTTAAACCAGCGTCATGATTAGGGGGGCCTGACCTGAAGAGCACTTTGTGCCTGAAAGCTTGACCAATATCTTTCCCAGTTGGCCTAATAAAAGATATCACAAAAAAAAATATTTCCTCTTGTTTGCTTCCTGTTATATGGTATTTTTATTGTATTTATATAGCTGTAGTATGTTCATATTTTGAGCACAAGTGGCTGTGAAATGTAACAATTATCTCAGTGATATGAGAGACACTGGCTGTTCCACAGTTCCAAAGCTACCACAATTCTATCAAGGATTGCCCTGTGAGATTTCTGTTTTGCATCTAACAGGTCCTGGCTTTTATAATTCAGCACCTGCACTCACTGAGCTTTATGAAAAATACAGGGTAGCATGGCCCTCTTTCAATTTGCTATAACGCACACTGCATTTACATGTGAGCTTTACTGTGAAGCTGACTAATTAGCTCAGCAGTAAAGCATTACTATCTACACATGCCTGTATTAGGGCATAATAATTAACTCCACCATAGAACAGTACTGTCTTGGACAAGTACTATCCTACAGTGGAGTAGTTACATGTGCTGAAACGCATGTCTAGGCAGCAACTAGAGCTGTCTGGGGCATGAGGACACTACAGCGCAGGGTCCGCCTGCTGGCTAACCCCACACTGCAGCACCATCGTGTCCCAGCCAGCCCCTCCACAGTACGTTGAGCCAGGGTGCAGCAGCCCCAGGCTGGCAGGCTGACCCCCCCTGGGTTACCTGCCAGCTGAGGCTGCACTGCCCTGGATCAACATGCTACAGTCCCAGGTACACGTGTAAATGCTGTGGCCGGGAGCAATAGCAGAGAGTTTTCTTAGTGACCAGGGAGCTGGAATGCATAAGGATTAAGATTAAGTAGACCTGGTAAATATGCTGTCTCAGGGCACTTAGGTGCCCTGCTCCTAAAGAGGGGAAGCTGCTAGAGAAAGAGCCCTAGCAGTGAATAAGGAGCCCAGCTGTTGGTTGCCAAGGCAACTGGAGTCAGCAAGCGACCCACACCTGCCAGCGGTCAGCTGACAGTAGGGGGCAGGGCCTGGCTTCCTTATAAACTCTAGGAGCTGAGGCCAGGGGCAGTTCTCTGCCAGTAGTCATGGAAGAGGGAGCTCTCTGCTGCAGAAGAGAGGAGAAGTCTGCTGATGGAGCAGCACATGTCATGTGCTGCGGGATGAAAAACCCTGGTAGGCAAAGTGTGATTATAGCTGGGTGGCTTATGTTTAAGTTATAGCCAAGAGGCTTGAGTTTGCGTTGCTACACCGGTGGTTTGGGTGAGGCTATTGGGGGTTGGAGGAGGCCTCATAGGGACTCACAGTAGAGTGGGGGCACCAGCACCAGCAAGGGCACAGCATTTGGGATGCACAGACCCCAGCCCCAGAGGAGGGGGGCATTGCTGAGAGGGAGGGGGAGAGGGAGGGAGAGGGGGAGAGAGAGA